AAAAATGTTTGAGGTGAATTCACTTTTTGAGGTTAGAAGTTTAGATTAGAAGTTTTAAAGTTCCATAATGCAATTTAAAAGCATAAATAAGCTAAAATCGATCACAAAATACGGAGAACTACTAATTTACGGATGTGTTTTTACAGTAAACATAATAGTCAAGGCCACCGGATGTAAAGTAGCACCCACATTTTCTTTCTAGTGTGTGACAAACTCTGAACACACATTTTAATATTCATTTACCCAGACTTTAGCCTCTCCCACCTGTTGATTGAAAAGCACCTGCCGGTCCAGATCCTCCAGCTCAGTTATTTAGCTCAGCCGAAGGTGAGAGTCTGGTTGATATTTCTTCCACGCTGCGGTTTGTTTGTTTGCAGCGTCTGGGCTCTCGCGGCGCTCTTCTGTTTGCACAGAGCCGCTGAATATCATGAGGACTGGGTTAATTAGTGACTCTGTTGGGCTGTTCTGTTAATTACCTTCTCTTTGAAACTCCAGTAAATAGGATTGGCTGTTTTCTCCCCTCGGCCTGCTGCGGCTTTCTGTTGTTCCGACACCGCAAATCACACACACACACACAAAAAAGCATTGCATTGTGCTCCGGTCTGCTTCGGAGGCATTTCAGCCCTGTTTGCATGCTAATGGGATCGTGCTTTCTCTCTGAATTCTGTGTGCGGGGGGATTTTACAAGGGAGCGCAGACAGGGATGTGTCAGTCGGACGCCGCTCTTCTGGGAGAGCAAACAGATGCATTATGAAATACAGATTGTGTGCTCGCGCGCCGGCTGTACATAATGGGGAATTTAACTGCGTTATGAGATTTGGGCATGTGCTTGATCTTTCAGCAAATGTGCTGCTGAACGTTCCTCTGGCGTGTCGTTGGATGCTCTTACTCTAATAAAAAAAAATAGCAGTAAGTACAGTGGAAGTCATACGTCAGGATTGGATGTGATTGCATCTCAGAAGTCCCAAATGCAGTTATTCCAGTCGAGCAGTGATTATCTTTCTCATTCACATACACGCATGCACAGCATTGGTCTGAGATATTTCACAGTAAAGCAGCGTGTGATATTATGGAATGAAGAAGGCTTCTTATGTTCCTTAAAGGGGAGCTATTATGCTTTTATAAGGGGTTTAAACACAGTAATGAGGCAACTACCAGCTAGTAATCATAAACATTAATTGTATCTTCTGCCGAAACACTTTGATTGGCATTCTCCCTTTGTAGGTGTCATCAGAGGGGGAAAGCCCCGCCCTCTAGTGCCCATCTCTCCCTCATTAGCATAAAGTTCTGTGTGAAAGTTTGTGTTCTGGTTATGTTCAGGTTATGTTTTGGTTATGTTAATTCCATGTTAGTTTATGTTCTGGTTATGTTCAGGTTATGTTTTGGTTATGTTTAATGTTTATTAGTTTATGCTCTGGTTATGTTCAGGTTATGTTGTGGTTAGGTTTAGTGTTTGTTAGTTTGTGTTCTGGTTATGTTCAGGTTATGTTTAATGGATGTTAGTTTATGTTCTGGTTATGTTCAGGTTATGTTTTGGTTATGTTTAGTGTATGTTAGTTTGTTTTCTGGTTATGTTCAGGTTATGTTTTGGTTATGTTTAGTGTTTGGTAGTTTGTGTTCTGGTTATGTTCAGGTTATGTTATGGTTATGTTTAGTGTTTGGTAGTTTGTGTTCTGGTTATGTTCAGGTTATGTTTTTGGTTAGGTTTAGTGTTTGTTAGTTTGTGTTCTGGTTATGTTCAGGTTATGTTTTTGGTTATGTTTAATGTTTATTAGTTTATGCTCTGGTTATGTTCAGGTTATGTTTTGGTTATGTTTAATGGATGTTAGTTTATGTTCTGGTTATATTCAGGTTATGTTTTGGTTATGTTTAGTGTTTGTTGGTTTATATTCGGTTTATGTTCAGGTTATGTTTTGGTTATGTTTAGTGTATGTTAGTTTGTTTTCTGGTTATGTTCAGGTTATGTTT